ATGGTAGTTGAATCTCTTCAGTAAACACAGGCCAAGTTTGAGCTGAAAATATCTTTAACATTCTGTAGGTAGGAGACAGACAGTTGTCATTTCCTAACTGACAGTAACACTGTCGACTTAAAAATCACGTGTAAGCAAACCAGTGCCCTGACAAAGCACAGGCACTACCAACATCTCAGGTTACTCAAGCAGCTGTCCTGGGAGCAGAAGTAATTGGGGCTGGTTTCCCATGTCTTTGCAACTTGGTCATGAGTCCCCCCGCAGCTGGTTCAGAGCATTGCCCGTGCTGCTTGACCAAGTGACAGTCAGGCGGTGTATCCTTCCTCAGAGCAACCTTTCTTAGTGGGGACATGCGTTTGGGTCTTTTTCCCATTGCCATGAAACTTGTTGCATCACCACAGGTCTGGGACTTCTGCCACATTTGTTTGCGTCTGACCAATGGGTTCAGGAATTACTGGAAGACTGAGACACACGTGAACAGATGGATGGGCTGGAAAATAAACTAAAAATACAATGTATAGCCTACTGGGTTGCAGGGGGCCTTTTTGCTCTTTGGGTTGTTTTTGTTTTTCATATATCTTAGTCCTAGCAGGCAGCTGGCCAAGCACCTTTTTGCTGATAAGCAGTGTTTGCATTAATAATTAACATCGTGGGGCTTTAGCTTTGTTTTTTTCTACTTTTTATTTTTATAGCTTTTATAGCTTTTTTTTCCCCTCCCTACTGATTTGAGATTCTGGAAAAAACTTGATTGTCCAAAGTAGACTTTGAGTTGACTGTGTATACACGTTTCAAGCTTATATATGTCTTAATATTATTGGAATCAAGGAAAATAGAATTAAAATATAACCAGTGAATTCAATGATTCGGTGAGGTGAGTCCTTCCACTGACAAGCCTTTAGTCTAAATATAATGCAGTTTGGTAAAATTCATTAATTGCTGACAAATAGTGGGAGTTCAAAGGCATATATGAAATTCTTTCAAGGTTTCTGTTTAACTACTGATATACTTCTCCCTTGGAAAGAGACTGTCAAAACTAGAATTTAGTAGTAGCCTTTATTTGGTGTTACCAGATTAAAAATATCCCACCTTGTCTTATAAAGCAGAAAAGATAGAGGAGAGGATGCTCAGAGGGGTAGGAAAATTTTATTTTGCTTTGCCTGTTCTGTGGATGAATCCAGCATTTGCATTTACCGCACCAGCTGTTTTTAAGAGCTCTAACTCAGCTCAGTACATAAAACAAGGTTTTAATGATATGTGCCAGTTAAAAAAATTGGGAAGTGTTACTACCCATCCAGAAAATTGAGTGTAATCTCAGGGGGTTTGGGGCCACTGATGGATTACATTGTTTGGGATCAATGGCTGGACTTCAATCCCTCTTGCTCCAAGGCCTCTGCCTTGCTTCGCAGTTCCTTTTCTCCAGTTTCTCCTGGCTGATTTCAGGGAATGCCCCACTGAGGGCATGGCAGACATTTGCTGATGATCTCCAGCCATTTCTCAAAGGCCCTGAGACTTGCTGGCACATCTGTGCCTAAATCAACTTTAAATGCCAGCTCCCATTGTGAAGCAGCTAAGAATTAGGTCTCTTGAAATCATAAGACCCATCTTGAAAAATACCTGATGTTTGTGAAATGCAGCGAGAATAGGATTGTTCTTAAGTGCCTGTGGCAGCGGGGGGCATTTAGTTACATCATTTCAGTCTTTCTCCATAATGCGACTGATTAGGAGTATGTTTGAGTAGAGGTTCAGACTGTCACAGTCACTTGTATCAAGCAGCTGTGACTTTCAATAAAAAAAACATTTACCGCGTCTGCAGCTGACAGCATTGCATTTCGTGTGCAATGACCTGCATCTTCATCCGTCTTAGATACCTTCTTACCCTGACTGTGTATCAGGGACAGATGTCCATCTTCTCTACCATAAACTCATTCAATTTAAATGCAGTTTAGCTCTTTTAGACAATCCCCTCTGATCATATTAACCTTGACCACCTTCTGGTTTTAACAGCATCATTCGGTGCAGCAGAGGAGTGACTAACATCACCTGCAATCACCAACGCCTGCATGTACTTTGGGAATAAATGATGTAACTTTTTCACTATAACAACATCCAAGAAAAAGAGAGCACTACATCTTTTAACAACAACAACTAAGTAATGGACTGTAACAAACAGTGCCCAAGAAGCAATCATAAACCAAGTGGCCAACGTTTGTGCATTTACACAAGTTATTTCTAACCCCCAGCAAGTGGTGAGAGCCCAGGCCTGTACCAGGCCAGCATGGCACAGCGCCTGCAAGCCCCAGCTTGGACCTGCACGGCATTTTTCCTCAAAAACTTCCCCATAGTGGAGTTTGGTTGGCAAAGCTGCCAGACAGGTAAAACTGTTCTGTAGGTACGGCTCAGTTCCTGTGCTGTGGACTGGCCCTCGCTGCCTCCCACCAAGAAATACAGCGGCTTTTGTGACACCCTTCTGGTATTTTAAAGAGCAGGAGAGGGCTTGCAGCATACGCACTTGAAAAATCACAGCTTTTTCTAAAACTGGCTTTGTCAAGTGTGCAATATTGTTTAACTCCCAGAAGAAGTAATACTACAGATACATGGTTTCCAGAAATAACGAGCTATGGAAAATAGCCCTACGGGAACCCTTAAGAGATTGACTTGTACATCAGCACATCTGTTCTTCACTTCAGTCACAGTAGTTGGGCAGACATGAGCTCGTGCCTTATGTTCATAGTGCTGCTGTTACACTACATGTATCTGCTGTAAAATATTTCAACATTATGTTAAGAGGGACTGTAATGATCTTACTTATTTAAACTGAGGGACTGCAGTTTCAATGTAAAATGTCAGAGCAGAGGGCACCTGAGCTCACCGATTTCAGCAAACCCTGCTGGACTTGAATCATCACAGGGAGAACGAAGAATTCAGCTTACTTTGGCCTTTAAGGTTTCGCATGCTTCTTCCCACCAATTTCAGTATTCCCCTTTCCTCCTCTCCCGTTTCAAATCAAAGCCTAACAGCAAAGCTAAAGTTTCCCTAGGTGGGTGGCCAGCACAAAGGCAGAGTATGGAGTTTCCTGAGCTACTGGCCATTAGTAGCATTAGTTCCCTGGGGCCTGGCCATAGTCCACGGCAGCGCTGAGATCCCACCGAGAAGTTCCTACAGTTCCTGCACCCACTGTGCTGTGTGGTCTTCCAAAGACCATGGGATGTTCATTCTTTGCAGAAGGTTGCCATGAACGTGTGCATCTTTAAAATCCCTGTAGATCACCAAGTGACACAGTAAGGTCTCAGCACTCCAAAATCAGCAGAATGCTCTCTGAGTAAAAGTGTCAATGAACATGCATGAAGAGTCCACCAGTAACACGTGTACTCATAGTGAGGGATGCTTTTGAGTATTGAGAAATGTAATTAATCTTGCAACTTTGTTTTGAACTTTCAGCCTAGTCCTGTAAAACAAGGCTATTTCTGTCTTCAGAAACCTGTGGGTTTGGGACATTTTGGGGACCTATCACTTTTGCAAGATTGAATAATAGTTATTAATAGTCACTATTATAATTTCAGGAGCCGAGGAAGTCAAAATGCTTCTTATAACATCCCTGACGCAAAGCCTCATTCCTTTCAAAAAGGAAGAATCTTGCTGAAAAAAGCAAAGGATGAAAAAACCAGCTTGCAGCCAGTGAAATGTTTCTATGAACCTGTCGATTGCTCAAGAGAAATATGGAGAGCCCAAAAGAAAGGTGAACCAGTCTGCTCTGCCAGGAAAGTGAGCGCAAAATCGAAGATGGGCAAAAAGGCCAAACCGCTATAGGAACAGTTAGCAATATATAGTAACGCAGGAGCTTGGCTTCAACAGAACAAATATTGAATGATGTTAATCATACTACTTTTTCCTATCCATCTGGCCATGCCAAAACATATCAGATATATTATATAGAAATATATACAGTATGGAAGATTTATATTATTTAGTAACGCCATTCCCTCTTTGGGCACTATAAGAGAAGTGACATTTTATTCAGTTTACATGGAGGTTTTTCTATTTATTCATTTATTTATGTATTTATTTATAGAGCTTATTTTAAATGACTACAGTTACCTTGCTGGGCAGTACTGTGGCTGTATGTTTAATTATTTTAGTGGCAGCATGTGGCTTGGTAATTTATTTTCCATCTGTGCTGTTGCTGAAGTTCAGAAGAATCCATTTAATCGGCACCTAAATATTAAATCTTTCAGCTTAGGTAGGTATAGGATCAATGATTAACTGTTAACCTGCAGAGACGTACTCAGATGCAAAAGGTCTCCTTGAGGTGCTTGAAGCCTGTTTACAGCAGTAGATTGCTACCCTGGATTTTCTGCCATAAGCCCAGTCGGGCATATTTCCGTATTTTATTACATACTTTAAAGCGCTCGATCCTGCCAGCAGCCACATTGTCTGTTGGTACAAGTTTGGGCTGCTGCGGTGTCTCAAGCACAGCTTTCAAATTCCAGAAGCTTTATGGCTTTGCCATACGTACCAGCCTCTGGTGTCACCTAGCGAGGAGACCAGAAGCTGGTACCGCAGCCCTGACAAGCACCGACCGCATTGAGCCAGAGGAGAAATTTCAGTACCGAGTGCCAGGAGCAGGTTATCAGCTGTGGCGAAGGGAGTGAAAGGCTAAAGCAACGGGTTACACTTCAAGACACCACGTTCGATGCCTGTGCTTGGTTTTAGGAATGAGACACCTAAAATGGCTATGATCATAACCAAAATCCTTCACATTTTTCTCTCTGAAGAATCTTTACAGGGCTGAGAGTTCCCTGAATTTCAACTAACAACCCAAGAGCAAGGAAGTTAGAGATGACTGCAGGGTGGGAATGCATGTGTTTACATTGGTTTGTGCCAATTAAAAGGATCCTTATTTATCAGAGTATTTATCAAGATGATTTTTTGCGTGTACAGTTTTTTGGTAACATGAATCCTCATGCCATATTTACAGATATGAACATCCTGTCGATGTTACTGATGAGATTTGTTTTCTCAAGAAAAAGCAAGCATAGGTGAGACAAGTCTGTGTAATTTATTTTTTAAATGCTCCTAACAGATGTAAATTGTTTATGTGGAAGGTGATTTTTACAGTATGTGTACAAAGATTTGTGAAAAATGTTTTTCATTTTTTATAACTATGACTGTAAGCAGAACTGAGCATTAAAAGACAGTGTATCACTATGATTACTGCTGCAATAAGCACCTGAGTTGCAATATTTTTAAAGCAGAAGATGACTGATCAGTCAGCTAGGATCAGGTAGCTACAGATGTCATACACTGTCAGTGTACAGAGCTCCCAGAAAGTAGCAGTGAAGAAAGAGAGCAGTATTCCTCACTTTTAGTTTAAGTAGTGTATAATGGAACAATCAGATACATGTTTAAAGTTCTCAACACTGTTTCAGTAGAAAGTCACAGTGTAAAACCAATTCAGGTATTTAGGTTGTAACGACAATTTAATATTTATTTAACTATGTCACAAGGCCACACTTGGCCTTATGCTAGGCATTGTGTGTGGTGAAAAGGAGTTGTTAATTGTGTTGCATGGGCTTGCATCAGATCTGTGTTATGACGACTTTCTTAGGCAAGCCACAAAACAGAAACATCCTTGAGGTTTTTGTATTGCTTCCCACATCCTTTTACAAACCTGAAAAAATGACCCTTTTTGAAGCTAATAAAGGTGAACTTTAGAAAGATAATAAAGTAAAATATATTCCTCTGTTCCTTTAGCCACTTGACACTGAAAGCATATTTTTATTTTTAAATGCCTATCTACTCTGTTAGTCACCAAAGTTAAGTGCAACTACTAGTTCACAAATGAGGTATTTATTTTATTATTTATCACACCAAGATCTTGACTGTAAGTTGTCCTTTTGGGGGAGGAAGAGAAAAAGAGAGTAAAAGAAGTTGCATGTTTTCAAAGCCTAAGTTACAGTTACTTGCAGAACAAATGCCAGAGAAATTGGATTGTACTGTAACCCCAGGTAAAAGTTTTTAGAATATACACATTCTAATAATAAAGATATATTTCTCATTCACTGTGTCGTTTAACTCTGTAAAACACAATATTTCTTACAAAAGCCTGCCCAACAGCAGAGAAAAAGACAAGAAACAGCAGCCCTGCTTATCTGTTTATTCCTTAGATAGAGCACCACATCAGTGAAGTTGGGCTATGATCTTTCAAAGCATTACAAATTAACCTGAAAGATAGTTACAGCACCTTGCCCACAGAGCTTGCGTGCGTCACCTGCCCCTCCCCTGCTGTAATGATGCTTGAAAATTCTTGAGATAACCCATGTGGTCAGATAATCTGCCCAAAGCAGAGGCAGGGGCAGTGGAGGGAAGGGTCAGGCAAAGGAAATTAAGGGCAGAGGGGCTCCTGGGGAATGTAGGTGATAAAGTCTCCCTCACACCTTGCCAGTTGCCAAGTCATCATTTCATCAGGTATCTCCCTGGTTAGACTTGGAAAGAGGTTTTCCCATGAGAGAACCAGGTTCCTGTCAAGATGATAACCTGTGGGAGAGGTGCTGTAGAAGACTGGACAATGAGATGAGGTCCTCTGACACCTGAGAGCCTGAATAATGTTCATCAGGAAAAAAGGCTCCTTCCCAGTCATGCTTACACAATTTATTAGCTCATTTTTAAAGTTAATGTCCGGTCATCAGCAGAACTTGACTGCTGGATGTGTGTATCACATCTACACTTTGTGTCCCATTAACAGAGGGGGAACGCTTGAGAAGGATCGGTACACGCGCTAGGCTGAATGTAACTGGTGTTAGCTTGGGGGGACTTTACAAGGAAGTAACACTGGAATGCGACAATGTTAATTTTAAAATATTTTTTAAATCTGAAAGTGTTCTGACAAAGTTGACCACTCATATTTGAAAATGAATTCGAGGCACAGTTGTCACATTTTGCCCTTTGAAGACACCTAGGTAGGTGGTAGGATCTGGGTGCCTCATTCCCATATACATTTTTAAAATCACACCTCATCTATAGCTAAAACCATTTCAGAGTAGTATGTATACTGGCTGGGCCCTTACAGGTGAGCTTTTTGCTGAAAACAAAATGTTCTGACCAACATGTAACATTATAGGCCAGGAAAACGAGACTAATTGAAACCTAGACCTTTAATTAGAGCTGTACATAGAAAAAACACAATCATTTCGAGATGCTTCTGCCAGTTGAAGAGAGAATGTGTTTTTAAAGCACTTGATTGCATCTGACCTCCCCTCTGCCTCAGTAGTAAAACAGTCTCCCCCTGCCCAGAGGAGATCTGAACACATTTGTTTTGTTTCCAGGAGAGTTACTGGAAATATTAAACAGGATATTCATATTCAAAGGGATAGCTACCAATTGGAGCAGTTACTAGGTCAAACAAATTACCACTTCTATCATCCCTAATAATCCTTCCGATACCACTGGCTCTTTCAATCTACTTGAGCAAAATCCTGCTCTTCTCTCTCTATTCTGCGTCACCAGATAGTTGTCTCTATTTGTTCTTACCTCAGACTAATGCTGATTGTTTCCATACATCCTGTCTGAAGTGGCTGGAGTGGACTATTTTAGTGCTCTCAGCAGTGGGCATGGACATTATTTTTTATTTGTTCTTTAGAAAAAATAATCCCAGAAGTGATTTTATGACATGAAACATACAACAAGCTCTTAAAAATAGATCCTGTTGTGACACGAACAAAATGTCCTTTCCCATTTTGTTGCTAATGCCACCCTCTATCTAGCCACGCTTTTTTTATTCTGGTCTCTTGAATTTTCATTTGTATGTCTCACCAAGGAGATGGAGAAGCAAGCAACCTAAGTTCAATGCAGTCATTGGCTTGACAAGCCTGTTCCCCCCTCTGTCTCTGTCATTGCACACTGCAGGCAGGTAAAAGTTGGCTTAAATTTTTCATAAAATTGTGGAAAAGATACAACAGATTTTGAGTTCATTATAATGTTATGAAAGAGGAAGAGGCTTTTCTGAGCTGAGAGGGAGAGAGAAAGAGGAGGAGAGATCCTCCACTTGCTGGAAAGTCACTTTCAAAAGATAAATGTGACGAGTCAGAGGCATTTACCGTGTGCTGGTGTGGAATGAGGGAAAATCAGAGTTACACATAAGGCAGCAGTGAGAGGATGGAGGACTCATCACTGCTCGCTGTTGCTCTGAGGCTTTGACCTACAAAACGTCAGAATATATACAGCCTGACACATTCAGTCCTTAAATCACACTTTAGACACATGTTTTGAAGCCTAATTACTAATTTTAAAGTAACAGACTTCAGGACTAGGGCTTCCAAGAAATTCCCCAAACTTTGTCCACAGTATTTGTTCAAACTAGAGTTTATTGGCTTACAGTGGGTACTTGTGCTAAAGGGGGCTTGTCAGCAGGGGGTATTTCTGTGTGCTTTTCGTACTTGTTGTCTCCTGTCTCTGCTTGGTGACTGGCAGAGGCCGGCCGGGTGCCAGCATTTCTACCTGGACTCTTCCCTGGCTGACTGTCTGCCCATTCCCACAGCAATGCTTTCCTTTACGGTACTTTGCTGATTTTTCCATCTGCTTTGCAAGCTCCCTCCCTCTTCTTTCTGCCAACTCAGTACCTTCAACAGCTTCTCTTATGCAGCAAGCACCTTTCCTGGGCCTCAGCCTGCTAATAAGTCACTGCATCGCACCAGAGACACTTGCAAAAGGCTTTCTTTGGTGGGCCAGGGGCAACTGCTGCACTAAGATGGCAGAGTATCCAGCCATGCGCAGCACAGCTGCTTCACTCGCCCCTCACCAGGTGTGCAGAG